ACATTATTAATTTCTGTGTACGACCACTGTACTAACTACTTCACGGTACAAAAGTATAATTGAAACTGACCGTGGGACGTTTCTTTGATGGATTTCAATAAGTAAACAAATTGTATAAGTATTTTTATGATTATCATTTTTTCTGTTAATGTTGTGTTTGTTAATGTTTTTTTTTCTGTTCATGTTAAATGAATGTGATTCACTATTAACGATCTGCTGGTAATAAGATTAGGGGTAACATTTCGAGAATATGACTTTTTACTTAAAATTTGCGATACGTGAAAACGTAACTTTACATTAGGTACGTTGTTTTATCACCAAAATCGTAAGTGACGCTTACGTCATTTATTTCGCCACTCACACCGTACGGTCGATTGTGATGCGATTGATATTGTAGACAAAATACTGTATAATCAAATATTTACATAATATATGTCTGGTTATTGCAACGGAATAACAGCTATTATTACCCATGGAACAGGAATGCAAACAATCGTTGCTTTGATGCAGTAGGTAGGATGGCTTAAACAACACTATATAGTGCTCAACATATTACACTGGCGGACAAATACACTGCATTCAACTACAAGACGACTTTGAAATGAATATTTTAACCAAAATGCTAACTTTTCATGCATATTTATTTTGAAAACTATAGATTGATTTGTTAACCGTAAAACAGCGTATTATCTCATCATGGAGTTTAATTCTGTTTAGTGGAAACAGCCAAATTTTTTTACAATAACGAGCGAAAAATGGTTCATAAAATTGGTTTAATTGAAAATTTGTTTTTAACAATTGAAAAAAGTCTAAGTATACGGTTGTGCTTTTCTCTTATTAAGGTATTTTACCACCGCGTGTTTTTGTTTTTGCTCTTGTTAGGGTTAGAAAACGTTCTCAGGCTTAGCCTCATGAGCTAGGTAGGTATAGCTCACTATAGTGAAAACAGAATAACCCCTCAACGCTATTGCCAGAAAGGTAGGCAAATAAAAACTTTTCGAGTAGATTTGATTAGGATAATTGAACGAACCTGCGAAATATTGTCTCATTCTTGTGATATTGCTATCTTTAGTCTTAGAAATAAAGAGGAAAGTTAAACAGGATATTTTGACGGGTGAGTGTTGGTTTAGTAATAAATATTACTTCAGATACTTTTATTTTTGAAGTCTCTGTAGGCAGATGAATATGCGCCCTACCTGAAGGTAAGTGGTAACTGTCGCTCATGGACATCAGCAACAAACACCGTTAAATAACCATATTATTTATATGAAACCGCTAGTGAACTGCATTCGAGTGTGTCAGTGTATACACGTATGTTGTTTGCCGAGACTTGCACGGGGACGCGAGGCTGTTTGTGCCGATACTAACTCGATTACGGCCAATCAGCAGCGTCGCCGCCCTAATTGGGCGCCCCAATCCGAGGGCGGGCGCTTTTTAACAGCTTCGACAAACATTGCAGAACCCGACGAAGCGACGCGGAGTCGTCCACGAAACTTCACCGATTGCGAATATTATTGTGTTAAACGTATATAAACGCTTTAAAAGATTTATATTTTTTTTTTTTTTTATGATTGAAAGATTACTGGTGGCAGTTCAGCACAGTACAGTTTCACTAGGACAGGTGGGCGAGTAAAGGCTCAGCCAGGAGGGGTGGGATTTGCTAACAGCTGCCCGGGCGGCTCCGAAGCAGACCTAACAACTCAAGAGCAATTGCTTCGCGAATGAATCTACTACCGGATCGGAATCGCGACCCGCTGAGAAGATTCGGCGAGAAACTCAGCGGGCCGATGCATGGGTTAGGTTGCACGTCGACCTCTTTGTCAAGTTCGACGAGTGCGGTTACCGAGATTTATCTATTGACAAGGCAGACGTATTAATAAATTATGAAACACGAATTGTATATCAATGACTGTTGGTTGAACTAGAAAAATCAATTAGAGCAACGCGGCTATGATTTGTAAATCAAAACCACAGTAAAATACACCGTAGCATTAGTCTGTAGCTTACGGCTGTCATCAATCAAAGTACAAACGTAGAAACAATATCACTTGTTTCGACCTCCACTTTCCCCGAGTTTCAACCCTGATTTATAGGGGTCCCAACCCCGACTATTCTCGATCATTGTGATGTGTTACTTTATAACAACAATTTACCTAAAGTATTTTCATTTATGAAATCAAGTATAACCGTGACTTGTGATATCAAATTGTTGTAATAATCCAATACAGACACATTCTTATTTGTAGATACATTATATACGATTCGATAATTCGGAATTCGGTCAGAATCATTGAACTTTTATGTAGTACCGCTTAAAATTAAGCTATATATAATAATTCATTTTAGAAACTATTATCAGTATTATGTACCATATGTATAGACAATATGGATTATTATTTCGTGGGAGCGTCCACGACTTTGATTTCAATTGATTTGTCTTATCGTGGTCGTGGGTCACATCTTTGTATGTACCAGACGTAGATCACTTGCTAATAAAAAATGATATTCCGCTTATGAAAGCGCTTTAATATTTATAGCAGCACAACTGGTAGAGAGAATCGCCCGTTGAATCTAGTATGACCCCTCGAGTTTACTAGAATAGGTAGGAAAAAAAATTTAATTACAGGCATTGTAGCCTGACTATAGCACAACTCAGTGCCATCACTTATGACCCAGTAAAAACTCTTCCGAAACTTTCTAGTACAATTTTATTAAATACACAGTAACTATGAACAAAGTTTTAATAGGTATTCTTAAAATTCTTAAAATTATTTTCCTATACTTACACGTTTGTTTATATACATTTTATTTTAATGAAGATAAAAAATCTGAAATATTTTAATGCTTAGTAAATTATATCATACATTGGAAACTAAAGTACTTTTAAATTATCTGATTGTTTGAGAATCTTAAATGTATTTTAATGCAAATGCAATGCGATTTTATACATTTCTTAATTACAAAATTATTTAATCATTAATGTAGGTACATAGTCATGTTTGGCAACTATGGATTGAGAAAACTTTAAGGACATCAATTATTGGAATTTCATTTTTTTTTTTTTTTAATTTAATCATAACATACCTTAAAGTTACAATAAATAATGATGAGATCAATTCTTCTACTGATACTCGTACACTTATCACAGTTTGATAATTTACAAATTATTCACAGTCCGCATTCATACTTTGGTCATATGTTTCATATTGCATTTAATCGATTTTTTTCATAGATATTCAATAGGACCTCATCTTTTATTTACATACCAATTTTAAAGACCATCAATCACTACGATTTTCATTTTTCAAGATTTTATTAGACAATATAGCGGTTAGATTAGAATCGGTGGTCTGCTCATAGCCAATACTAAACTATTGATTTTGATTTCAAAAACTACCAATGATACCTTTAATGTTGTTTAGGGGCCAATCACTATACCAACTTTATAATTATAATAATATGGTATGTAATAATAATAGGTCTTTACTTATGAAGTTGCCGTTTTACAATACTGACTCTTTAAAACGTAATTTTGTCTAAAACTGGTAATAAATGTTCAATTTCACATTAATTTTATTTTAAAATTCAGTCATTTATTTTTTGTTTAGTGTTTTATTTTCACTGCATTTGCATCTTTTTCATCAGTAGGGACACAATAAAAATGCACGTTAATTATAGAATATGAGCTCCGTCGCGGTAGCAGAGCCGCCTCTTAGGCTGCCAGCAAATAGCTAATAAAAGGATTCTTTTTGATAATCGCAAGCGGTCACCACATTCGTTAGACCCTGATTCAACACCTAGGTAATGCCCGAACCAAAAAGACCAGAAATACTCCTAAAAAGACTGCTTAGCTGTCTAGTGCCAATATAATTAATCACAGTTTCTTACCGAATGGCACCAAAATTACTGCGGATGTCTACTATGAAGAACTGGACACAATTATGGTCATCCCCGCTGCTCCTAGGCGATAACGTTGAACCTCATACGGCACAACAGACGCTCTCTAAGCTACAAGAGCTAGATTTCGAAATTTTGCGTCATACCGTATTCAGCAGACTTTGCGCCGACTGTTTCCAAAGTTTGGACAAGTTTTCGAAAAGGAAAAAAAAATTTTTTTTTCGGAGATAAAAATCAAATCTGAGAGGCAGTACAAAATCTCTTTGAAGAGTTTGTTGGCTTACTGTACACCTGACTTCTTCAAGGGCACTGCGCTGACATGGATACATATTTTAATTTATATAAAAAACATATATAAATAAATATCTGTATACTAAACGGCAATTTCTTAGGTAAAGACCTAATATAGTCTACATATCCATACAGGGTGTAAGACAACTCAGACAACCGCGAAAAGGAAATAACGTATGCCGACCTTGTTAGATTGCGTGCAGGGCACAAAATTTTTGTAATTATCCGATTGCGATTTTATAACTTTATAAAATCAGATTTACTAGTACTACCACCGGTCTTAGTTTTCACGCAGTTTTCTTTCATCCAATATAAATATTAATTTCCTTGAAATATGTTTAAAATAAATACGTGAGTTTCAATTTTAAAAATTTTTACGGCCACCTTTAATTTATTATAGCTACAATTAAAAGCTTCGCCAAACAGAACGCGTACTTAGCGCTGCGTCTTAACGTCGCGCTCTTTTCATGTCAAACCAATTGACTAGATGAGCACAACGCTCCTTGACGCAACGTAACATTCGCATTAGCAGCGTGAAAATTTAAAAGATGTCGAGTGATTCAGATGTGGCATTGTATAAGTATGGGTATTTTCTAACTAATTCTATAATGTTTTCGGACATTATCCAGTATTTTAATACATATTCACTCGGAGGCTAAAATAAAATTTACAGAGCGTTGCGCTTATAGCGCTAGTGCTCTGTTTGACAGTATATTACCATAGTAGTACAACACATCTCGGCGTCATCGCGCGCCGTCAGTTTAGCGTTCTGTTGCGCGCTAAGTACGCGTTCTGTTTGACGAAGCCTTAAATCAAACATAAAAGTAATTTTGTATTTAATGGTTAGCTGGGTTATGTATCTGTAGGGGTCGAGACAGGAGCGGGCGCGACTTGAGGCGGCGAGGGCGCACGAGCGGCTGCGAGCGCCGCTGCGTGTCTTCGAGCTTTAAGCCGCAGGTCTGCTATGGAGGAGGACCGGCACCGCGCAGCCAGCGCCGCCAGACTCGCGTACGGAGGACACAGAGCCGCGGCTGCCGCAGCTGCTGCGCTTGCGTACTGCTCCCGATTATTGATTATTGATATTTTAATAAATTTATAATGTTTGAACAAATCAAAGTCGACAAAAATCTTATTAATGTCTTTTTTTTTTATTGCCCTCGCAGGCAGACGAACATATGGGCCACCTGATGGTGAGTGGTTGACGTCGCCCATGGACTTTAAGCAATGCCAGGGGCAGAGCCAAGCCGCTGCCTGCCATATTAGTTTCAATTTTCAATTCATTTCATTCGTTCAATACGTTCAATAGATACGATTACATCATGTATGGATAGAATATTCCTTGTTGTACATCATAATTCACAAAAATGTTACGTTAATCTAAAATAAAAATAAATATTTTGGATGACATAAACCTCTAAAATCAGCAATTTTTTTTTTAATTTGAAAGTAGTCCTTATTAAAACTCACCTGGTGAGCTGCAGCCGAGAGTAACGCCGAGTCAAATGGCGCAAAAGCCGCAGAAGGCGGAGGATGTGGTGCCAAAGGTGGTAGCGAAGGTGGCGGTGGGGGCGGACGAGCTACGGCTGATAATCTTGGCACAGATACGTAAGGTGCCACACGACACGGCTCCAAAGGAGTACCACCACCGCTAATTAGGAGCCCTGTTGTAAAAAAGTGTTCTTAAATAAATTTCGTCAGATTATTAATTCCAAATTATACTTTCACTCACTACTATATTCCAAATTATACTTTCACTCACTACTCCGTCATATTAATCATATTATAATCAGACCCTTAGAAAATAAACACCTTAAAAATGAACCGAAATAAAAACGTCATAGATTTGTTTTTTTTACCGTCAAACCACGCTCATCGATCCGTCGTATTGGCAGAGACAAATGAGCCGTACCCGTCACACAGAGCGCGGCGCAAACCCGCCGAGATCTTTTCCCAAACTTCACTTAATTAAATTGATATTTAAGTAAAGCATAATTTGCTCGTAAATTAAGTGAGATCTGTTGTTTATAGCCCGCCCGTCGGGCGAACCAGGCAATTAATAAATTAACGTGGATCTGCCCGACTTAAGGTGAACGAGTCTCTCGTCTGAAAGATTCATTAATTTAATTATTATACTTTAACTAACACTTTCCGATTATACCTACATCCGCGCGCTCTTTTAATAAATGTTTTTTGCCTTTTGTTCTAATTCTTTCGAAATTTTTACGACTCTCTCAAGTAATACGATTTTATTTCAACAAAAGGCGTTTCGTAACAAGAAAACAAATCATGTTTATAGCAAAGAAAGAATTATTCCATATAATATCGTATACGGATCCTTCGTTGGGCGTAAAACAAGGAGAATCTTCAACCGAGGGCGGGAACGTTACGCGAAGCTCGCTGTAAATCAGACACTCTCCGGTCGCCGTCGACATTATCAAAATGAATGCTCCTCGCTCGTATGAGTTATTTCCATATTTGACACCGAATTACTTTCGAGAAGTGCTGACATAAATATACAAAAACGCGTCCAGCAGCCCCTCGCCCCTCGCCCCTGCGGCCGCCATGCATTTATTTGATTAACTCTGAGTTGTTTATTTTAATCGAATTAGAAGGTAAGTCGGCGCGGGGTGGACCTCCTCTCTTTTTCGTTCATTTTAAAGTGTTCTGAACATCTTTACAGCGGTTTCGGCGCAATAAAATATCGCCACCCTCGTTGTGCACGAATAACTTTACAATTTTATGAACAGGGGTACAATTAAGAGCTGGAGTGTTTTTTTTTCTTTTCTTAAAATTTTACGACCGCTGTGATTGTTTTCACGTCGACGCTGCGCTCACTGTGATACCTGCACGTCTTCGTTAAATATGAATTTTAATTTTATGAAGACACAGTCTCCCTTTTTCATGATTTAATACTTCATAAAACACGCCCGTTATTAATTCATCTGTACTTTTTTGAATGAGAATTTTATAATGGCTGCTCTCGTACAGTTGTTCGTATTTTCGAATTTACCGTGTAAACTTTACAAAACAGAGTCGAACCAAGCTAAAATCAATTTCAATATGTATAGATGGCCGAATAAGATGATCAGCTAAGCACAGACCATACAATAACTTCACATCCATTAGTCACATATGACATACCTAATCATGAACTCGTGACGAATTACATTGTTACGCTTCAGACAATGTCTTTCTAAGGTAACATTTTTTATTTAATGATAATTTTAATACGAATATTTCTAAATACATTATCCCAATAATGTAAAATAAAAACAACGATTACGCAATAACGTTAGCTCTCGAAAAATAACAGAGCGTATCGATAACGACATTGAATATTTCGGCGGCGGGTTAAAGAGGCATAACATAACAAATAACCGTTTCATTTCACTTTACATGATTATACTCGTGTTAGTCGAGGGTGGCTGCGGGGCGAGTGGCAGCACATAAGTTAATAAGACATTTAGCAGGGGACGGCGGGATTGCGTCCGAATGGCTCCCACGGGGAATCATTTTATTCGATTCCGTCGGGCGGCCTTTTTCCGTTTTACGCTCTGTTTAGCGGTTGTTCAGTGCTACCGTCTTCTAATCATAAGATAGTGCGATCGCCGTGGATAAGCCGCGGTCATCTTTCGTTTGTCTTTGTGGCTTGACGAGCTAGGACAGCGCGTTATTAGAACGATTTCCTAGCATGTAAGACGCGTAAAATGTTCCCCGTGAAATCTTAATTGACACACAAAACAAGAATGCTATTGTCATTTAGAATATTGTAATTTTATTTAAAAAATTGTATACCGTTGAAACAGCTTGGTTTTATTGTTCTAGATTTGTTAGCACGCAGCTTTGCATCTCGACCGCGTATTAGTTTTAAGGATGAGATAGTCCCTAGCATTACGCGGAGTGGCTGATTGGTATCAATTATCGATGATTAAGATGTGGTAGCCGGATATAGTCGTAATTCACCATACCATTATCAAATAACAACCTTCCTTCATTTGATTGGTTTTAGATCTTGAAGAATATTTATCTTGAAATTTATTTGAAATAGGTTACTACAAATGAAAACTAAGTATGTAGATAGACATTTATCAATATATATAATTATCTTCTAGTCGAGTCTGGAGTATTAAATATTGAATAGAGCCAGGTATAAGTCAGTCTATCGCTAAGTGAGTTGTACGATTTCCTAAATTTATCGCCCTGCGTTCGCATCAGAATCTCCCGAGGAGTTTTTTTACAGAATTTGCGCGGATTCCCGCCTCGACTCGCCATTTTAATTATTCATTCGCGTGAGTTATGGTCGAATTAAAAAACTGTTAGAGTCGGACCGGCGCCGTCGGGAGCCGTAATCGAATTAGACGGAGTCATGGAGAATACATAATGCTGTTCAGTCGCACAAACTTATATTACTGTAGAATTCAATCTGTGGCTCCGTGTACTAAATAATGATGCGGTGCAATTTCCACATGAGTGAATTCATTGTGAAAACACATCGGTGCCAGCCAAAACGGCGGCAGCGTAGTTTGCCAGAATCATTTGCAATTTGTCGTTTCGAACTAATGTTCGAACAATAAATACCTTTTACGAAATCGGTTGGTACTAAATATATAGTACCTGGGTATATGGTGTAAAGTTAAATATGTATGATATTCGCATTGTCAGTGTAATTATGAATTTTTCTTGTAAGAAACTAATGTACAAGAATAATAAATTACTAAAATAAAATAAAAATTATAATTTTGTCAAAATAATATTATAAAAATAAAAGCAATCCATGAAAAAAAAAGATTCTTTTAAGTAATCATACTAAATTATACCAATTGTTGCTAGCAAAAAAAGTATACTAATCTTAACCTAATATTTGTACAAATATGTACACGCATTTCAATTCAATTAAAGCTCCTACTCTGTTGTACTTTTTGTTTAATTATACCTACACATAATACCGATGTCATATATTGTAATTAATATACTTAAAAATTACCTTTATGCATTTGACTTTCATGCTTCCGACATTTTGCTCGACGATTTTGAAACCAAACCTGCAAACAAATTTGTCTTCTGTATTTTAGGTTGATGATTTTGAAACGTACCCAATATTTTTTAGATATTCAATTGGTTCTAATCATATATTGCATGAGACGAGTTTATCAATTTTAAATTCATTTTTGTACTATTATTATTATGGGTATAAAATCGTAAAATAACGTTGACTTTAAAAAAAAACCTAATACCTACACCACAAAACTTAATTTGCCAAAACTAGCCACCAAACAAAATAGCAGCCCTTGAAATCAATACAAATGTGTTTTATTAATTACATAAATAGGGTTGTGTAATCTTCTGTCTACAGCGAATAATCTCATTACACCGCCTGACACGTACTGCAGCCGTTTGTATTATTTGAATGTCTGTACCGTACTTATTTATATGTAGTTAGGATTCCAAACAGACAAATAAGGGTAACCGTATTAGCGACAACCGCGCGTGCTACTGATTGCACATTGCAGAACTAAACGTGTACCTATGTATGTATGCTAATATTTATTAATCGTTATTAATGAAATTATTGCATAACTTTCCCTTGTGTAATTTATTTGCAAAAAACTAGTTTTAGATCATACAAATCCATCATAAAATTACGCAAAACATTTCGGGGATGGTTTTCCAACTCATATTTTTATGAATGTATTTTAATGTTAGTCATGTTATTTGTCGTTGGTATTCATAATTACCAGTTAGTATTAATTAGTAATTAATGGGTAAGTAATTCGTTATTGTAACAAATGGGGTTTGAATTATCAGTAAATACTTGAACAGGTTATTCTATTAATTCTATTAACGACTTCTCAGAGTACCTGTATTTAATGAAATTATTAAATCAAATTACTGTGGTCTTTTTAGAATAAGGTCATCTTAGAATTTACCGATCATAGTATATATTTTTTTCTTTCTAATTATTGTAAAATCGTGGTTAACATTATCTGTGGTACCTAACTAAACCTTTTTTACACTGAAGAAGTAAAACAATGACAAGTATGTAAGACGCTTTCGGAAAAACTATATTATTCAACTTCACGAGAATGAAGCGCAACATAAACTATAAGCTCCGGTTTTGAATTGATTCATCACACAAGAATGGAAAATTAAGCGTAGTAACAGTAGACAGCTTTTCGTTTAAATCGTGTAGCTACTACACTACACTGTGATAGTAAACTATTGGATACAGAGTACGCTACTAATCGCATTTACTTAATCCTCAGAGCGACTGCTGCATAACTTATGTCGAGTTTTAAATTAACAATTACATTGCGTTGCGAGACTGAACTAGAAAATTTAGAACTACAATTAGAAAATTATGATATTAAAGCACTTTTTTTGTGCTAAAACTGATGTCTCACGGAACTGAGTGGGTACTATCATTATGGGTAATTCTCAAGCAAAGTTGTCATGAGTTGCAGTTTTGAATGGTTTGACAACCGTTTCGAAGTCTTTTTACAAAATAATTGCGATTTCGTCTTCAAATCAGTAAACATTTAGGCTAGTGTTAGCTCGTCCACTAAAATATAAATGAGATTATTGAATTTACATGCGAATATAATCGGAAAACTGGCATGTCGTGTGCCTCCGTTTAAAAACTACATAATTAATTGGTAGCGTAGGCACTTTATTTGCTTACAACCCGACTAACGACCGATGCCGAAGTCGGGACGAATTCATTAGCTTTGATTACATAAGAGTGTAGTACAACTAAACAACAACAGAACGTGGCTTTCGTTGATAACCTATAACGTTTCCATTACAGTTGATTATTGGACTATTCTTGAGAATAATTTTTAGGTATGTTTGATTATGTTGTCAATTGTGAACTTTGATCTCACAATATCATTATCAGTTATTAAATTTCAGTATTAACTGCGTCTGCTATGTTTTAATGATTTTTATGAAATCGTTACTCGAACATATTATAACGATTAGATATATGTACCTATACAGTGTGCATGCCATCTAGTGTTGAAATGTAATATTGTCCAATACTCTCTTCAATTATGAACGCATTATTAATATCTTACTCCAGAAATTGACAAGATGGCGATATCTACCAATGAGGGTTCACAATATCCCCTTTAATATAACTAATATGCAGATTACCTAAAATAATAATCTGTTTGTCTCTTCTAATTTTAAACATTTATACTAAAAGACTGGGATGCTTATGATGTAGTTTTAGTTAAAATACCTCCGAGCCCAGTTTTAAGTCAACTACAAATATCTAATGTTTTACAATATAAAATTCTGTATCATATTGTATTAATATTAATAAAACGGTATACTATCATTAATAGCACTATAATAATTTATAGTAATACTAATGCTCAGCCCACAGGCAAACGCTGTGAGGAGTTTTCAATTTACGAATAAAATTATGTAAAATTTTATTAAGTTTTTAAATAGGAAAATATACCTATTAATAATATATTAATTATACCTATGACATAATAATACATATTAATAAAATTGTTTCAAACACGTAAGGTACTCTCGAGGCTCACACACGAAAATGTTTTATCTGATTCAACTATTTTGTTATACAGAAGTAAACAACAAAATTAATTCTTGTTTAAGAGTCTGTGATAAATCCTAATATTGACACTAGTTAAGATGCACGTCGGTCCGGTCAAGGCTTTTCTCTTTAATTCTAACATTAACGTCCCCTATTTTTGCACAACACTTAACGCCGATCCTGCCCTAATCGCAATATATAGCCTATAAACGCTCACTTGTTGGACACTCACAGCTAATTACGTGCATTAGTAATGAATGGGTCCCGGTTTGTTAAACTTTCATTCGAAACGAAATTTTTTCCCTAAAATCATTAAATCTTAAAAGCTCAGTACGCACCACTGTTTGTGCGTTTATTGGACCCTATGACAGCGCGTGGAGTTAATGAGTATTTTCTAAACTGTAACAAAAATCAATTACTCGTTATATTTTGATCGTATACCTCGTAAATTATCTCAATAGACAGTTAAAAGAAGTGTAAAGAGACCTTGTCCGGAGCCGAAACGTCAATAAAGTGCTAACTACCCTACTATTGACTGAAAATAAAGCTAGCTTAGATTATTAAAGTTAATATTTAGTGAAACGGCAACCTAACGCGAAGTACAAGACGCTTGCTGCGCTACTTCGAGGTCGTTGACCCCCCTCTTCTCATTTTCAATTTACATTGCGTGAAAACTTTAAAACTTACATTTAAAATGGTTTTGATAATATCTGCATTTGTGAATGTAAATTACCTGAACTCTCGCCTCACTGAGGCCGAGTCTTTGACTGAGCTCCTCCCTCATGAAGGCGTCAGGGTAGTGCGTCTCATCAAACAGTCTCTCCAGTTCGCCTAGTTGTTCCAAAGTGAAATTCGTTCGGGACCGACGCTGTTTACCGCTGTTGTTACCGTTACCGTTCGAAGACTTGTCAGTTATATCTGAATAAAACAAATTTTGTTTTAACTAATCTGTCAAAATAATATGTCTAGTTTTACATGCCATAATTAGGCCTTATGGCCTTACCACAATAGTCTATTTGGGCTCCTGATGACCTGACTCGCCCTCTCCTTGGCGGCAGTAATAGACAGCATGTTTAACTACCCGTGTGGGCTAATAAAACGTTCTACCACTAGTCATTTAAGCTTTGATTTTGCTAATGAATCCTGGACTCCCTCATTTGATTTAACCATCCAATTTCGGCTTTTTTTTTTTCGCCGATTATCTTCACTAATGTTGGTACGACATGTTGTAAGTCTACCATCACCACGTACCATCTATTTCTATTTCTGTATTGAAGGCAATTGATCTGAGCCGCTACATAGCCGTTATATGCAATTGAGACCTCGACCTAGTGCTTCAAAATGGACAGTGGCATTCACGCTCTGGTATTTAAGGAATCCAGTGACCACACTTAGTGGGTGACCACGTTCATCATCCACGCTAACAAAAATAAATGCATAAATTGGAAAGACCAGAAAAGCACAGAGTTAATGTTTAGCTCATTCACCAGCGTTACTGACGTAAGCCTAAATTTTTTGCGATGAATGTAACATCAAAAAAATATCTCAACTACCTACGAAAAAAAAAACCGTTCGATATTGATAGCCAGAACATGTAAGGTACTCAAGGTTCCATGTGTTCAATCAAAAACAGGGGAACCTCGCGTAATGCCGTGAGGAAAAATCGTGGGTTCAAATAAGGGTCAGGAGGTTAATTTTATTAGGTTAGATCGTATTGGACATTAACTTACCATTTGTGCGAGGTAGACACAACGTTTCATTTCAAAGTAATTATTTCGTGATATGTTAGATAAAAATAAATAACTATGAATGCAATCGGGACTTAAAAACGATTCGAATCATCGTGCAAAATCATGAGTCTCAAGCGTCGGGCTCGAGCGAGTAGTATTGAATTTAAGTGTCGTTTGAAGCAATTTAGCAAATTGGGAAGCTTTCCTTTTTATACGGCAATTATGTAAATGGAGAGATTATCCAACGTGGGCGGCGCTCTGCCACACCCGCTCTCCCCTTTCGCCCTGGGGACATCCGAACTCCTTAAACACCTAACGATCTGAGAACTGTGATTAATTGCAGAAATATGCACGGGGATTGCCGTTGTACTTACAAACGCTTAGTGATTTATTTGATTAATTTGTATTACTTGTTCATTTATTATCATGTCGCTTGTTAGACTGTCCATTTCCGAACGTTAATAGCAAATTACAATAAATTATTCTTGGTTATATTATATTCACCGGGAAACAGAGAGACCAGTTTTTCAAAATTGCCGCGCAAATTTTCCAAACGCGTATGTGTGACATCATTCAGAGCCAAATTAAACGATGGAACTAACCGTAAAATGATAGACGTGGACTTAGAATGATAGAGAAGATATAGAGTACTCCGTGTCCTTGTGATACGACTATCTGCTTCATCTAAATATACGTGAAGCAAAAACTTTGTACCCCTTTTTACGAAAATTGCGCGGACGGAGGAGTATGAAATTTCCCACACTTATAGAGAATATAGAGAAGGAGTGCAGAATGTTATTTTTTTTTTTTATTATGCATAAAAAATACATTAAATCAATTAAAAAAAGACATTACACACACTACAATGTATTTGACACACACACACGCATGCATACCATTTGTTTATAGTCAAACTTTTCTTAATGCTAATAGTCTGTGGTCAAATTGAGAGTAGATTCAACATTGTTTGTCTTTATTAATACGAGTATTTGTCTTAAGTGTAGTATAGTAAGTGTATAATAGTATATAAACTTATATTTTCAATTAATTATAGTCGAATTTCGACTACCGGGGGACCACTAGTCTGTATAATTAAATCATACAATGTCCACTGAAACACGATTACCCACTTATAACGTTTTGTGTCTTTGTTATTGGCGTCTGGTTGTCTATTACAATTTTTATTTTATTTCACGGTGAATCTAATCTCTGCTATAATATTCCGCCACCCTATTTAGACCACGTAGCTAGAATGTACTGTTGTCCTAATGACCTAATGCATACTTTCGTATCAACCACATCAACAACGCATATGGATTTAACGTTTTATTTTGAGCTTTCTGTTTTTTTTTTAATACCTTGAAATTCTTCCTAGTATGAGAAATAAAAACGATGACAATTTAACGTTTTACTCTTAATATATGTGAAAAAGTGATCCATCCAGAAGACGTAGGTAACCAAAAATTTTCAACATTAAAAATTATAAATATTAAAAGTGAAACAAAAAAAAACAGGTTTTCGGTAGTAAGAAATATTAATTCCCATATCTCTGAAATAATCTCCCAAGACCCTTATAATTACACCCTAAGCATGTATAAAACATAATACATGACATACATATATTACTGGTGGTAGAACGTCTTGTGAGTCCGCACACTCTACCTATTTCTGCCGTGAAGCAGTAATGCGTTTCGGTTTGAAGGGTGAGGCAGCCGTTGTATTATACTGACACCTTAGAACTCATATCTCAAGGTGGGTGTCGGCATTTACGTTGTAGATGTCTATGGGCTCCGGTAACCACTTAACACCGGATGGGCCGTGAGCTCGTCCACCGTAAGCAATAAAAAAAATCAATACAGATCACATAAAACGGAGGGAATCTATTTTTACAACCCATCATTATTATTAGAAGAAGACATTTCTTAATATTAAAAATACTAAAAGTTAATTAAATGCTAATTAATTTTATAAGGTAATTTAATAAGATACTCGTGCATGGACTAGGACAAAAATATTTATAACTAAAAAATCACTCTGTATAAAAGTTAATTTGTTTTTCACGCATAAAGAAGATATTATCTTACTACAAATTAGAATAGATACACATTCCAGTTTGAAGGGTAGGGTTGCAGTTAAATTCAATTGAGACTACGGAAGCCCACACATCATGAAGACATTAAATCTGTTTTTTTTTTGCAATAACGGCCTCATATTAATACATGCTAAAAAAAAATCTTCAAGGCTGAGCCGCGTGAGATCGCCTACACGTTTAGTACAGCTAGCATAACTCCTCGAAGCTAATAGCCATAGGCAGGAAAAGTAAACTAAAAATTATGTGGTAAAAGGTTTGGTAGAATCACGAGACGCCTTATAAATTTCGAATAACAAAAAAGAAAGAAAAACTATTTCATTATATTTATTTATTTTTATTAGATATTTTTATTCCTTCATCATGGAAGTCATTCGTGGATTTCTTTTATGTCCTTTAAATAAAATAGTACCCCTCCTGAATGTGTTTAATAGCAACGCTCGATTTAACCCTTTGAGCGCGAATAGTCGATAGATCGACTCTCTATTAATGCCTATAAAGTGCGGAGCCTCGGAATATCGACTATTTGCGCACTGTCATTACTGGTATTAGGTATCGACCTGTATGTACGGACGTGTCTTAGCGCGCGCATGTATATTTGTATAATGTTTTGAATAACAATAACATTTATAAATAGCAATTTAAAATTAGTTTTCTGTGAAATTGGCATTAATTTTTGTATTTAAAAAAAATTAAAGTTTTATATATTATATTAAAGGTTTTTCCCAAAAATCAAACAATTTTCTGGAAAATATATGAAAATAAGCTCAGCACTAAAAGGGCTAAGTTAACTACCCCTTTCCTCATTAGAAGTCCAATGAATGATGAAACAAGCTATTTTTTGTTAACATTTTTATTGCCGCCTTCCTTGAGACATGAGGTCGAAAACTTACTGCTTAATGACTGTCCAAACGCTCAAACTGGAACGCACAATTCCTTCACGGCAGGATGGTGGGTGACAGCTACTTTTCATATTTTAAAAAACAATTATCTAACAGTTGGGACAGCTTGATCATTTTTGTTTTTCAATTTTATAATCCCATAATATTACTTACTAATTTGTACCAGAGGTAGGTTCAGTCTTCGAACCCACGATTACTTTACGCCACTATTGTATTAGGTATATTACTGAATAATTAAAGAGAGATTTAAACTTATTTTACTGGTTTCATGTTTGTTTACTTCAAATCATGACTGACTCATTTGCCCTCAACAGCTAACAAAATAATCAAAACAATAACATAATGGCTGAACTCAGATCAAATATCAGAACAAAATCCTTAAAACAAAATTTTAACAAAAAAAAACCCTTTATTAAATAAAATGAGTTTTTCAATCAATGTTGTCGCTGTCAATTAAATATGCATTATTAAGGATAACTTAAAAACTACCGGTCAGATTTTGGTAAAATTTAAATGGGACCGCATGAGAAGCACCAGATTTCAATAAATAAAAAAATCCATCAAAATCGGCTAATAATATGGTATGGTAACGGTAATATACGGACACTTTATTGCAAATGACATCAAAACTTTTCGAAATCCAACGCATCAATAGCTGTAGACGTCTGTGGTGAATCTGTCTATGGAAATCGAATAATTATAACGAAATGCTTCGAGAATCAACCCCTTCTCGGCAATATATCGTCGCCATGATACAACAAAATCTCATATTTACTTGACAAAATCATTTAACCTTACTTGTAGTTAGAAACAATACGTAATCCTCCATACTCGCTCAAACGATGCCTATTTATTCCGCAATGTAAATCATTTTCAACTATAATAAAAACCGCGCTTTCAAATAACGGCGATTTCATAGGTTTTCTGCGGTCTTGATTCCCGATGTTCTATTTTGGCAATGGCATAAATGATCACTCAAAATGGCAGTTAAGCATTATAATGAGAAAAATAAGCAAATCTATAATAATATATCTTCATAACTTTGTATTAAAAAATTCAAACACCCGAAAGCACCAACTACCACCGAAAACGGTAACTGAAAAGCCCGCTACGCACTACTTTCCTTTTTTAAGCATTAACGAGGAAACAAGTTCACGTCCGACTGGGCATTAAGTGGTTACAGAACCCATAGACATTAAAACGAGAATCTCTTCACCGAACTTGACACGACTAACATTTTATTACTAGTGATAGGGCGTCTTGTGAGCCCGCGCGGGTAAGTGTACAACCACCCTATCTATTTCTACCACGAAACTGTATTAACCATATGCGTGAATGCGGCGGCATCCACCTTGAAACGTGAAGTCGAATTCTTAATCATATTGCATTACGGCTACGTAAAACAAACAACCTTACAAACCAAACAAAAAGCTACTACCTACTCCTATGACTACTTCACGGTAGAAGACAAGTATATAGGTGGTACTTTATAAGTGCAGGCTTACAACCTACTCCGCATCTGTAAAGACCCAACTACATATATAAATTTACAATCCAATCTTGCATTCATTATTTTCATTTTTCAGTATCACCTACCTGATCATCAACCTAATCGTCGATGTTATACCTATTGATGTTTTAATATTGTGCTAACTATCGTTTTATTTTTTAGTTTTGCACCGCATTCGTCCGTGATTTCGTGGTGACTGATAGCGTATTGTCGAAATGTCGGAAATATTATAAAATAACAAAATAAAAATTAAAATAAAAGCGAGATTAAATCGAAAAAGCAGTTTTAATTATGTCTATGACTCAAAAAAACTGAAGAGAATATTGTCAACAGCTATATGTTAGCCATTGGTACTATGAGTTAAATGATATCTAAATCAAGTAAGTACAAATTTAAATCAAGAAACCGTAAATTAAATTAATTAAAGAAAGAGAACGGAATTTTTATAGTTGGTACCCGTTGATGACAATCTGCTACTAGACAAGCTACTGCTATAGGACTACCCCTTGTTGTTGCTATACCTAGCATCCAAATATCTTTTTTTATTTTTTTTATTGCTTAGTTGGGTGGACGAGCTCACAGCCCACCTGGTGTTAAGTGGTTACTGGAGCCCATAGACATCTACGACGTAAATGCGCCACCCACCTTGAGATATAAGTTCTAAGGTCTCAAGTATAGTTACAACGGCTGCCCCACCCTTCAAACCGAAACGCATTACTGCTTCACGGCCGAAATAGGCAGGGTGGTGGTACCTACCCGCGCGGACTCACAAGAGGTCCTACCACCAGTAATATCTAACCCTTATTACGTATTTTAAGCACTTGTAGCAGAGCACGTTTCAATGGTGCATACATGTGATAACACCCCCTTGCCTATTCCTTGCGCGAAACAGTTGTGTATTCCGTTTTGTATTGTAGGCTAACTTTTGGCCCACAATTGAAACATCGACCATACGTCTCAAAGCGAGTACTACATATCATCGACGTCGCCCAAAACATGTCATTACGGATCCTCCCAATCCATTAACGATGCTTTTAGGTACCACAAGCACCGGTCACGGTCCTCGTCGAACCCGTCGCTTGCGACGAAGGGCTCGACGAGCGAATTAACTCACAGACACAGCCCACTGAGTTTCTCGCCGGATCTCCTCTAACCTACTTACTAAACTTACGCTGAAATAGCCTCTCAAGGCTATCAGCTTAGGTAAGAAAAAAAACTACAAATCACGTCCCGCTAATCTTCAACGCTAGGCGGGTGAATTCGTTTGTTAATTTGTTAATCTTTTACCATTAAAAAACTTAACTATAGTCTCATAGCATAAAACGAAAATGCGTTATTAAATTTGATGATGATTCATTCATCTTAGCGAAATGAAATATTAGGATGAATACAGGTTTCTAGTTGAATTTTAGTGTTTAAGACTTCTTTTAACAGAGCTTTTGTAAGTAATTACCACCCGTGTGCCTATTTACCTCTTGATCATAGCACTTGCAAACGCCGAAATATTGGAAACTTATTAATAGTGAAAATCGTGGTGAGAACCCGTTCAATGGTGGGTGAAATTTAGATAGTCGCGAAAGTTTAAAACAATTCATAATTTATAACCGTTAACTTAAACATTTCATACCGTGCTTATGATCATCATCGTCGTCGTTACTTTCCCTCTTATAAGACTGCACAGGAACCGGCGACAGAAGCCAATTCCGAGGTCTTTTCGCTGGGGGCGGTTTGTCTTCAAGGTCTGTGATATCAACTTCGACATCGTCGGCGTCTTCAGAATCGCCAGGCTCGGATGGTGGCGCTGGCACTTCGCCACCCTCCAGCGACTTGCTGACGAAGTCCGCCAGCCGCTCCATCACCATTACTGCCGGGAGCACGCGTCACCGCGCGCGGCCATCGTCCGACACGCTCTACAGAATGCACACTGCAGTGAGTGCTCTCCACACGCCCACACCCTTAAAGCCTCTCGTCTATAAGAGTAAAATCTACCTTTTGATAACTGTATAGGGCTCGGGTTGCGTCGTAAAGTGTGTTATGTTTATTGAAGGCGGCGTTACAGTCCCCGCCCAGAAGTCGCGCAGGCGCCCGCCCCACGTCCGTGAGCCTGCACGCCACTGATGTATCCGACGGCGGATAATACACGCCTACATTATCGTTATATTGAAAATGAATACTTAATGTTACTTGCTGGTATCTGTGAACCTTAAGGGCCTTTAGTGTTGAATATTTTGTGAGCCTTTACCGTGTCGCTGTTATAGCTATCAGAAACCCCGTGAGGGTAAATCTCAACTCAACACTTCAATCAACCAGGTAAAAATCCATTTATTAAATTCAACAATAGTCGTAGCTGATGTCGTATATTAATAACATTTATTATGCACAACAACAATTGTAAAGTAACTGTATCAATAAAAGTACAAATTAAAAGTTGACTAAAATAGTAATAATTAATGGTAAATGCTACAATAGACTAAAATAGACTAAAATTACTTTAAAAAATATCAAAAATTCATCGAGATTTGCTATATAATTATGCTGAAATTTTTTTGTAATGAATTTTATCAAACAATTGCGGCCGTAACACCAAAGCCGAGCCGAAATTTATCATTAGGATGATTCAAGAGTGCTGAAATAGCGCAAGCAAGCTGAGCTTTCTTGCCTCCGAGCGCTCTCTGCAATGTGGCTCCGACCAGTCCGTCGGTATCAGCAGAACCTCGAACTGTCCATTCTTCTGCTCGCCATTCGTAGGCCAAAGTAGCTACTGCACGTCGAATTGCAAATCCGACCTAGTTGAAAATACACTCGACTGTATGATTAAACTGCAAAATTAGGTTCAGCTACGCAATCTATACATATAAATAAAATTGGAGTGTCTGTTGGTAATATTGAAATAACCGCTTTTTACTACATGCATATGAATATATATACGGTACATACACCAAAATAAATTTTTTTACAATTTTTGTCTGTCTGTCTGTCTGTTTGTTCAAACTAATCTCTGGAACGGCTGGACCGATTTTGACGGGACTTTCACTGACTGAGGTAACTGAGGCTACCAGGCTACTTTAGGCTACTTTTTAGACTAGCTTCACCCGCGGTACGACAATAACCGCGGGTAACATCGCGGGACTCAACTATCGATAATAAAATTTAATGTTTCCGAAGCGAAGTGAGGGCGGGTCGCTAGTGTAAAATAATAATGTAAAGAAAATGACAACAATTGCAGAAAAATATAATCGGGAAGTAGACAGAACACGGATCATTTGGAACCTGTAGGTCTACGGATGGACTTTGGTTCTCTCTGTATTTTCTAGCGTAGGTATGTTCCATGGGGACTGTTCTGAGCAATTGTTTGAGATGATGCCATTAACTCGTTTTTACCATCGCACCGCCTGCCACCGGAGTAGAGTTAATCCATACTACCTAGAACTAGTGCGTTTCCAGATATATTTTATTCCACGTACCATGAACTTCCCTCTAGGGTGTTTCCCCAGCGCTATGACATCTCCTTCTTCAAACGAGGCTTGTGTAGAGTACTTAACGATAGGCAGCGGCTTGGCTCTGCCCCTGACATTGCTGACGTAGCGACGGTAACCACTAATCATCAGGTTAGCCGATGTTCTTCTGCCCACGAGGGCAATAAAAAATAAAAGATTTTCTGTACTTCTGAAGAAAGTAGTGATACATTCACGTAAAGTCTAGCGTCTTACTTCTAACATCGCAGCAACTGTTAGGTAAGGCTTAATGGCTCTTGCGTAACACAGATCTAGACCTCTGTTGCCGAGAGTAGCACTGACAGAATGGCTCTCACTAAACCACCGACCAGCAGCCGACACGGAGCTCAGCTCGGCTGAATGGCCCCGCGCTACCACCTCAGCCCCCAGGGATATTTGCTCAGTGACTGCCTGTGTTAAGGACACGTTCGCATTTAAGGTATTATTAGCACAAAAATCACATTCATACAAATCAATTATTATAGGTCATGTTATTTTTTATTATCCGGGAAGGAATATCCGGGAGTGGACCGGTATTGCCTCCGTCGAACAGCTGTTCCGGCTGGCTGCAGATAAAAACGAATATAGAAAGCTAACGGCCAACCTTCAGGATTGAAGAGGCACTGGAAGAAGAGAAGAAGAATTTTTTATTATTGCATTTTTTATTGCACAATTTCACTTACTTGTAAATAATGAAGAGCAATAAAGTCCCGATTAACAGCAATGATTGATGTCGTAAAATTATTGAAGTAGCCATCTAAGATGCTTTCGAAACTGTACAACTCTGCATTCGCTATTTGAGCCACAACTGTAGCACGTGTGCCCTGTGTGGGCCCCACACGCACTTCACAGCTCATCTGACCTCCAGGAGCTGCTTCCATCACAAAATACGGAAGGGCTGAAGGTTTGCTTTTGTCGATGTATGACAATAGCACTTTATAGCCACCAGGCGAAACCGAGCTGAACGATAGTGAGTGACCCAACACCCAATTGGTGTTCGAGTTTTGTTTAACGGAAACGCATGCTCCTTCGAAACACTGCGGTAGTCTGTATCTGGCTGCATTATGAATGTGCCGAAGTAGACCAGGACTAACCGCTCCACTAGGTAGGTTATCAGAATCTTTCTCGCTAGCGTGTCCTGTCCTAGATCCAGTTACTCCCGCTCCTGTTTTACCTCGATTTCCTGCGGTACTTTTTGCATCCTCAGATACACTGCAAGTGCATTTCTTTTGAGGCGGTGCGTCTCCTCCGGCACATTTATCAATCGGTGGACTTTGTGATACTTTTCTTGGTGAATTCGCTTCGGAACAAGGATTACTTTTTGCATAAATATGTTCAAAAATACCCAATTTTAACACTTTGGATAGTAAAGAAAATTTGTTTTGTTCTTTATCCATTTGNCTTTTTGCATCCTCAGATACACTGCAAGTGCATTTCTTTTGAGGCGGTGCGTCTCCTCCGGCACATTTATCAATCGGTGGACTTTGTGATACTTTTCTTGGTGAATTCGCTTCGGAACAAGGATTACTTTTTGCATAAATATGTTCAAAAATACCCAATTTTAACACTTTGGATAGTAAAGAAAATTTGTTTTGTTCTTGATCCATTTGTTTATAATTATTCAAATTATTTCTTGATTGATGGTGATACTCATATAAAATGTAACTAAATTGCTAACTAATTAGGCATGTAGGTATATTGTCAAAAGAGACAACTTCAAAATTAGAATGAGTTTGTGATTGGAAAAATTACTACAAAGTACTTATTTTAGCAAAATATTATTAAATATAGTTAATGAATATTGCTTACGAAAATACAATTTGTAGTAAGAATGAAGGGGACGAGAAAAGCTAAAGACGGGTCTTAGTGGCGAATGCTTTTTATTAGCCTAATTAATATGTTTGATTAATACGAAATGAATTAAAGTTAACGGATTAGTCTAAAAATATCTCGCATATAAGACGTTCAAATGTACATACACATCGAAGTCACCATCGTCAATTTTAATAAATATTTTTTATTATTGAGATTAAAAAAATAGAAGCAATTTAAATAATTATTTATAAAAGGACGGATGTCAATAGCAATGTCTTCATTAACATCAAACAATGATAGGTACATATTAGAGGCCTATTTCCAGCAGTGGACGTCTGTGGATGGCTGAGAGATAGATAAATGATAGGCACCTATGAAGATTATTTAGAATTTGATAATATTATTTTAATTGTTATAGACCCACATGACAACATGAATACCACTTAAAATCTCATTCATAGATAATACACTTAAATTGTATAACAATTGGTAAACGCTGAGTCATCAGTTGCTTTCCCAGTCTCTGAAAATGTAATAGTTAAGCGACCTGGAAGTCTCGCTCTTCTCTCTCAACTTATTTAATTTTATATTTTATGTAATTCATAGCTAGTTTCTAGAGAATATAATAGAAAGGTTAACTCTCTGTGTTTCTGTCCGACACTACAAGCTATTTTAAGATGGCGTTACTGTAGCAAAGTTCCTGATTTTCTGATTGTCAAAAGATAAAACATTTTTAATATTGTTGTCAATGATGATATAATTTTTTTATACATTTTTTGTAACCGATTTCAAAACTTTTATAGGATACGAAAGATATCAAAACGTAAAAACTGCCATCCACTTTCGGATATTAAGTTAAAATATCAATTGTATATACAGCTACTGTCTCTCCTATCAGGCCGGAACGCATTTTTGTTTCGTTGCAGATATAAGCAGGACAATAGTATCTGCTCAACCGGTCTCACAATACGCCATAGCTCTAGTAAATACCAGTTATCAATCGCAGCTCGCTGATAAAAGGACCACACAGCTAAAAGCTATTTTGTCACAAAACTACCATAAGAGAGAGACTTTTTACCAAAGGAGGATTCTGATTTATTAAATTATCATTACTATTGTCAATACTGTCAACTGTCGTATCTCAGCAATGGATCTCAGAACTGACAGAAATAAATACCACAGCACGACAAAAATAAATCTAAGTATTTAATAGTTTATTTTTTTGTGAAATTTTCTTAATATTCGTAGTTTTAATGTTGGTAACTTGAATTACCAGACTCTTATTTTATTATTTCTAAAAACATACCAATTTTTTGTGTGTTTGTTTAATCAATTAATGTTAAACGCTAAACGGATGTGATATATGAGTATGCTTTGATTATTTGTCTGTGAATGTGTGTACCATAAAACATTTACGACAACATTATCTCTTTGTTTGCATTAAGGAAATTTAAAATACAACAATGGCCACTTTAAAAACAAAGCTATCGGAATTTATCAAGGGTTTCAGAACTGATGCTGTGCCAAGACAGCCTCGACCAGTAAATGTTGACTTTGACCATCAAGTACCACCGGAAGCCCCGGTAGATGACGAACATGCAGACTCTAGTGAACACGAAGAAGTTATCATTGAGGAAGAAGACGATAGTGATATGAAGAAAAAATCCAAGCCTAAATCATTTTTCAAACCGAAAATACCGAAGAAATCTTCAAAGAAACCTGACCCTAACAACCATAAAGGCTCAATCAATACTCAAGGTAAGTTAAACACAATATGTTACTTATTCAGTTTGCCACAACCAAAATAAAGAGCTTAATTTGTGTATCATTGGAAGGATTTTGATGTGGTATTATTTCAGCTCCCCCAGGAAGTATGCCATACACATTTCACTTCCTTTCACTGAAGTAGCACACTGTCTCATCTGTATCAACGGAATAATTTTTTTTTTTTTAAATCTAATGATCAGTGGATTATCACAACTATTCTGAACTATCATTTATTAATTCTGGTGTAGAACAAAGTCCACCAAGTATAGAAATATCCTCCTAAAAAAGAAAACTATGATTGTACATTATCTCTAGATTAATTTCAGCTGCAGGCAATGTATTGAATGTGGTTGGTTGTACAAACGTAAGATGGGGCAATGATTATTTTATGGGTACTACTTATATCGGATCAAAAAATACTAAGAAAGAAGAAACTTGTGATGATAGCGACCCAGAAGAGGAAATTGTAAAGACTGGTCTCATTAAAGCTGTTATGAAAGCTACCATAAAGGTTAGTTTATTTTTTAAAGACAAGTTCAACTGTCACCCTTAGCACTTGTAAAGGTCAGACCGAACCTAGAGTACATCTATAAAGAATCTTCAACTATGAGAAATGTTAATGCTATACCATTAGCATAGCATTAACAGATACATTCACATTCATATGAGTAAATGTGAATATGTACAATTGATCCAATATTTAATCTTATATTCAGCACAAATTATCTTATCTACTTAATATGCAATCCATTATTTATTTGTAAAATTTAAATTTTGGTAGTCAATGCTGTATCTGAGTGTGTTTGAAAGTAATTAAAACTTTAAAAAAAAGCTTTGTATTCATAGTACCAACACCTATGACATCTATTTACTTACTTGACATAGAATAGCAGACAAGATAATGCTCCAATTTATTTAAATTTAATAAGCCATATGCATCTACTGTTATTGGAAATTTTCTGAGGGGCAAATAAGCTTACAGTCTGTTTGTCTACTGGAGCCCACAAAAATCACTATGGTGTTAGCTACCACCTTGAAGAAAAGACCAAAGTTTGTATTGTATTGTACAAATGACTGTACCACTCTTTGACCTAGAATATATGACTGCCTAGATTAAACAATTAATTAATAGACAAGTCCTTAGAAGGTCGGCTTAATTAAATGTTACAGCAGATGTCTATTGCAATACAATAATACAAATTGACTATTGATATCTGGCTTTCGTCACTCGATAATATAACAATATTCTATATTTTGATTTGTTTTATTCATTTGAGACATTCACCTCAAATGCACTAAGAAGATAATAATGTATGCTTAGTTTTAATGTTATTCATTCGATGTGTCATGTTATTTCTTTGGATTCCCCAAATGCTTAGTACTTTTTTATGTACTTCCTTACTAATTATTCACTTTGTACTAAAGGAACAAAAACAATTTTTTTTGTTATTGATTTCGTAAGTGTGGCTAGTAGTAATGAAAATAAATTTAATGTAGGTTAAATAATTAAATAGGCCAGTAACCTAATCTTAAATGCCATTTTGTGTTCTGATGATTGGATAGGCCAAAGTATTCTAATATTATTATTTTATGGTCACCTGGAAATTTTTAAGTTAATTAAACAATAGTTAATATTTTTAAAATTACTTTCTTATAGAACTAAATCTCTAAATCTTTTCTCTCACTTTTGAAGATCACTGTGGACTGCTATAATACTCTGGGAATGCTACTCGAAAATAAAATCTATGAAATCTATTTATTATTGATACACAGGCAAATACTGATTTTTTTACAATTTGAGGAAATAAAACAAATTGCTTTTCAAATCTTTTCAGCCGGAAGATGAGCATTTAGATTACATATCGAAGAATATGGGTAAAACATGGCGCAAGTTCTTCCGGAAACTCGGCTTCACCGAAGGCAGAATTGATACATTTGAACACGACAATAAAATTTATGGTGTACAAGAGGTGAGCATTTAGTAAAATCAAGAATTAAAAAAAGAAAAGAATACACTACACCTATACCTGACTTGCATAATATAATGATCTTGTTGGAATATTGAAACATTGGCTTCATACCATAAATATTAGGGGTTAAAGTATGAAATTGCTGGTTGTACTGAAAAATTGAAATTTTTTCATTTAACATATTTATTTAATCAAAATATCTACCATTATTATCTATAGATTGCTACCATCTAATAGGAAGGTAATTTATGCTTTTGCCATAGAACTCTAGTGATCTAGATTATACAAACTGTGTGAAAGCCTTTTTTACTGCCTCCTGGGAAGAAAACTTTTTATCATGTAGAAAATTGTCCAAATCACGAAAAAAATGGTAGTCCGTTGGAACAAGGTCTGGCGAATACGGAGGGTGACGAATGATTTCTAATTGCAGTTCCTGTAGAGTTAAAACGGTTTCTCGTGCTGTATGAGGACTCGTGTTATCATGGAGCAAATCGGGGCTGCGTCTCTGCAAGTTTTGCTATTGTTGTTGGGAGTTCGGCACTGTAGACATCTGCCGTTATTGTTTGACCAGAGCGGGGAAAGCTATAGTGAATAACACCATGCTGAGACCACCAAACAGTTACCATTATCGTTTTATTGTTGACCTTTGCTTTAGGATACTGTTGCGGCATTTGACCTGGAGTCATCAGTCATTGCATTTTTCGTTTACGTTATCGTAAAGAATCCACTTTTCAGCACATGTCACAATTCGATCTAATATTCCATCATTTCTGTACCGAATCAACAAGGCAACACAAGTTTCAACACGCGTTTCTTTTTGCAGATCAATCAAATCATGAGGCACCCATTTTTTATATTTTTTTATTTTATTGATTTGACGTAAATGAGTCAATATTGTTGGTAAGATAACCTTGCCGCTAATTCCTGGGTAGTTTAGCTCGGATCGGCTTCCACCATCTCTTTCAATTCATTGCTATTCATATGTGTGGAGGTCTTTCACGTGATTCGTTCCTCAAATCGAAATTTCAAAAAAAAAAAAAAAACAACTGAAAATCGATAGTCAAATGTTGCACATTTTTGAAGTGAAAACTTCTTTAGAATCGTTGTGATTTCAAACCGGATGCAACGGAAAAAACGACAGGTAAGAGACACAAATACAAAAATGTGTAGGATGAAGCCAGCAAAGAATGAGACAGAAATATACATACTATTTAATACAGCGCCATCTGTGAGATTTTTTAATACTAACGTGTGTATGAAAGCTCTTGTAGTGAATTTTAATTTAGGATTATACGTGAAATTGATAATGACAAAATTTTACATATACTTAAGACGTTTAGGATAATTGTATTTTAATTTTGGAAGGTTTCACTTCTACCACGTGTGAATTGCACACATGTATTTTTTTAAAAGAAAAACTTTACAGGTACCATTTGATAAAAGTTTCACTCAAAAATCTCAAACCATGAAGGTTCTATATCAATCGAAGTACCTATTACAATAAATCGGCAATTTCATACTTTAACCCCTATTATATCGCTTTTGTTTGCGCATTGTTGACGTATGACAGGGCTCTACTAGATGCAGTGAGAGTCCTGACAACTAAAACCAAACATCAATAATCATAAATCATTCAATCACTTTTTTCTGAAAAAATAATAAATCTTAAGCAAAAACAAAATTTGAACTGTGTTTGTCAACCTTAGGCCTTAGTTAAGGCGACGCTGATATAGCCTCTCAAGGCTATCAGCTTAAGAAGGCAAAAAAAAGCGTAGTCTATTATTATTATAATAATGCACTATGGTTAGCTCGCCCGTTCTTTTGGCCCCAAATGAGGTCACACAAATTTAAATCCATCTAATTCATACTTACCGTAGGAAAAATAATAAATTCGTATTTATTATAATTGTATTTTACTGTTTTGTCTTATTTTCAGGTTCGCTACAAGCTTCTTCTCGAATGGATGCAAAAGAAGAATGATGCAACTCTCGGAAAACTCGCCACGTTGCTTTGGGAACACGGCGAAAAATGCGTCGTAAAGGAGTTAGCAGATTTGTACTCTGAAAAAAACTAACACGATTCAAATTTGAACCTAAGAAATAATGCATCGCTTATACACGTTTAGAGTACTATTATTTTCTAAGTTTTTGAGTTTCATTTCGCCGATGGTGCTATGTCAAAAACCTCACAGAATTGCTGACAATAACTAGTGAAACTAAATCATATAAACAGGGTTCGAGCGCCTAAATTACGAACAAACAATTATATTATATATTTATTGAATACGATTGAATAATAGAAGATTTGGACGAATTATAAAAAAAAAAACTACATTAAATCCCGTAACAAGAATCATCTCCGTTCCAAGTGCCATATATGAAAGTATAAAAACTTATAGGAATTATGTAAAAAAAAAATTCAATGCATGTTTGTAATTTTCTCATTATAGCAACGCTTTGAGACATTCCAGTAGTTCTTGAACTACGCACTCATTCGTCCCATTCGCATTTAAAGACCTTGACGTATACTCTTGTCCCTTGCGCTTGGTATTCACTAAAGGATCAGTCACGTTACTACTGTGATACATTACGACGCATACCATAGCAATTTGTTTCACTCTTGAATCCCAGTGAAATGACAGTTTACGTAAGCTACGGAAACTAAATCGGGCGCCCTGCTGGATCCACGTGATCCTATCGTGCTGATGAACGCTTTAAGTTCTAACGCTATCACCCAAAGCTCGGTGTGCTTAATGCGAGTTTTTTAACGTTCTCGATAGCGTAAAAGTTAACTCAATTTTGTATGCAGTTAGAACAGCGCCCCTAGCGGCAAACGTAGGCAAACGTTAAAAAACTCGCACTAAGCATAAAGGTCACCGTACTCGCCGCCCATGACATGAAACTTAGCTTGTAAGATCATCCTGCTGAGTTTCTCGCCGGATCTTCTCAGCGGGTCACGATTCCGATCCGGTGGTAGTTGCACCCGCGAATTAGCTGCCCTTTGTTGTTAGGCCACCAAGGGCGGTCGGGCAATTGTTAAAAAACCCCTCCTTCCCTCTGGCCGCGCCTTTCTACTATGGATTACTTTATTGATACATAAATAATTAGATGCGTGGCGTGAATAAGTTAATATATTTAAAATGCAGGGCTTATGCTATTTTAAAATCTAATTTTATTAGTTAAGACTATTTCAAACAATCTTGTTAAAATAAGTATTACTAAATTTATTGTGGTTTTGAAGTAGAGTAACATAATTAATATAAATTTATATTATTTTTTTATATAATTTTATGACCTGGTAACATAGACCTTTAGGTCGTATCTTATTTGGTATAAATTTATATGACTTTGGTCATCGAAGATTCAAATATACGCCTTGTACAAAATTAAATTCTCAACTCAGGCACGCCATGCCTAAATAGCTTACGGCTTTAACTGATAAAACATAATAAGTAATGGTTTAATATGCTTATTATGCATTCCATAAACATCATAATTAAGTTTTAATTTTAAGTGTCAATTTAACTACTGCGTGTATAAGAACAAGAAATTTACGTTTAGGTACATATTTACAAATTGAGAACATAAATTGACAAAATGGGGTGCTAAAAAATTGTGATTTTAAGTTTATATTTAAATTGGGTAACTAAATGATAACAAAAATTGTTCTAGTCAAGACAATTTTGAAAAATATATAAATATATACATACGAAGATACGTAAGTTTTAAATATTATACTTTATAAAATTTATATTTACAATTTGTTTAATGAAAAAAAAAAATGTATGTCTTTTAATTTGGGTCTTTTTTCTTATCTTTTTTTATGATTGAAGGATTATTGGTGGCCCGGAGGCCTTTCCAGTTTCAGCAAGATAGGTGGGCGAGCAAATTTTTTTTTTTTGGGGAATCCATTTACGGATACCCAGTCGAGGGTGGTAACGGACCGGGATAAGTCGGACTCCGGCGCCTCCTGAGAGGAAGAAGGGGAGAAGAGAAGGGCCGAGGTCCTTCACCTCCCCCAATTTCTCACAGGAGACTACGCCTTGAAAAAGGCGCGCGAAGCACTTGCCCCGCAGAACGACTACCGACTAAACTCCATCGAGCTCCACCACACTGACTACACGAAACTTACGGTACCGCGCGCCGAAAGTCTCGCCTTAGCCGGTACCCGTACTAATGTTAAGACGGGATCTCATCCCCGGGAAAATCCCGAAGAACCTCGTCTCGGGAGACACACCGTGAGCGGCGCACAGGAGCCACCCTTGCACCGCTTCACCACCGGACCAACAGTCGATAGTCCCTACGAGGGCTGTCCTAAGGAGACCTAACAACTCAAGAGCAGCTGTTTCGCGAATAAATCTGCTACCGGATCGGAATCGTGTTCTTATCTCTAACGAGCGTCCCGCTACGGCTTTGCACCGGCGCGGCGGCGCATTAGGATGTTGTGTACGAAGTATTCTTTTATTGCTTAGATGGGTGGACGAGCTCACAGACCACCTGGTGTTAAGTGGTTACTGGAGCCCATAGACAACTACAACGTAAATGCGCCACCCACCTTGAGATATAGGTTCTAAGGTCTCAGTATAGTTACAACGGCTGCCCCTTCAAACCGAAACGCATTACTGCTTCACGGCTGGAATAGGCAGGGTGGTGGTACCTACCCGTGCGGACTCACAAGAGGTCCTACCAGCAGTAAAAGTGAAGTGAATTTAATCGGCTCTTTTTCGCAAATGGCAACGTTTCAGTACCTTACCACATAAATATATAGAGATAAGGACGCGACACAGCATTTATTTATTAAAAAAATATTTATTTATGTAGTTGTGCTAACAAAGTGGTCATCAACATAAAACATCGAAAAATTATTAAGAAGTACGTGACAAATGTCACCTCAACTATAGGTGCAATCGACACCGCATTGATAACATCTTCAAATTAAAAAGTAAGAATATTTGAAAATAAGAATAATGAAATTTTACAAAAATTATTAAGTCCAGAAAAATAAATTTTCACTGAGTAATAAAATTAAGCATTCGTTGGTATACTTCATATTTGTTTCGAATACTACTACTACCTATCTATACTAATATTATAAAGAGGAAAGATTTGTTTGTTTGTTTGTTTCGAATAGGCTCCGAAACTACTGGACCGATTTGAAAAATTCTTTTTCCATTAGAAGCCGACATTGTCCCTGATGAACATAGGCTACTTTTTTTAAATTTTTTTTTATTTTTTTTTTTTGGTTTCATGTGTGTCTTAATGTTTCCGAAGCGAAGCGAGGGCGGGTCGCTAGTTGGTAATATTACAACAAGAACTATTCTTAAATTGTAGTGAATCTTTCCGTGTGCTTTAAGTGAAGCGACTGTGTCTTCCTCAAAATTGTATCTAAAACATCTGGCTTTATTTTTAATCCCTTTATAGGTAGACGAGCATAGGCCTCAGCTGATGGAGAGTAGTTACCGTCGTTAACGGACCATAGCAATGCTAAAAGCACTACCAAATTGCTTATTCGGAGACAATAACGATTTTCTTTCTCGGATTGAACCTCTTACGAAGTCACCGGATCGTGGAGGCGCGCGGCATTTGCAAAGATGTAGGATGTAGGACCCGGTCCACTAAGCGACTTTTGCGCTCTCGCCTGACCACTATCTGAGATAGAACCCGAGAATTTGCAGGTTGCAAGGATCAAAAATGCAAGCTGACTTTCATCTCTCACTCATTCCTCCGCCTCCTTCGAGGATTCTTCTAATGAAATAGGTACCTACTTGACAAATGATCACGATTGACGGTGAAGGAATAACATCGCGTAGGTAGTAAAAATCAAACCTGCAAAATTAGAATTTGCGTGATTACTGGTGGTAGGACGTTTTGTGAGTCCGCACGGATAGGTACCACCACCTTGCCTATTTCTGCCTTGGACAAGTAATGCGTTTCTGTTTCATGGATGGGGCAGCCGTTGTATTGCAAAAACGGAGACCTTAGAACTCACGACTCGAGGTGGGTGTCAACATTTACGTTGTAGATGTCTATGGGCTCCGGTAACCACTTAACACCAGGTGGGCTGTGAGCTCGACCACCAATACAAAGAAAATAAAAAAAAAAACTCATTTTAAGACTAGGCCTAAATTTCAAAACGAAACGTATTAATACTTTTCAGCAGACTTATGCAAGGTGATGGTATGTACCGGTGCGGTCTGACATTAGTGATGAGAACTGCAAAACAAAAACCCTGCGATATAGACCTAGGACCATTAGGTATTTTTTGAAATTGAAATACATAAACATATACATATGTATTTAATACATTAAACAACAGCACACCGAATTCAATTTGATCCGTAAATAGTTTCAATGTGACATTGGAAACTTTAACAATTGTGAACGATCTACCGTGAAAACAGAAAAACTTGCATTAGGTACCTAGCATATTTCTTCGCAATGATTGTGCGTTTTTTTTTCTTTAAAAGCTATTAATGTGATAAGTGAATATTATGGAGACTTCTCAATAACGATAAAATTTTCTTACCATTACATTGTAAAATTGCAAGGTCGAGCACTAAACACCGAGAATAAAAATGTATTTGTAGATAATAATATGTACGTATATTAACACGAATACGACTTTTCAAAGTATTTAAATAGATTCTAATTTTCAGATTTCGTACGCGGAATAGGTATGAATCGTATTGTGAGCCCACACGGAGAGGTACCACTATCCTGCCTATTACTGCCGCAAAGACGTTCCAGAATGCGTCGTCACATCTTAAAGTGTGTGGCAGAGTTAATGTTGTGATTTCTGAGGGCATCAGAGACCATTTAACACAAGGTGGACGATGCCCACGTTTTATTTATCTAATTACATTAAAATATTATTAAAAAGTAGCATCTTTGAGCAATTTATTTTGCTGTTTAAAATCTAAATATCGAGAGATTATTTCTGAAAGCTACATAACAAAACATGGTCAGAGGAAAAGAAAAATGGAGCAAAATAACTACACATTGGTACCCAAGGGAAGGCAAGAGGAAAAGAGGGAGACAACAAAAAAGATGGGACGATTATATCAGGCAGGTTGCGGGCATAGCATGGGGTAGAAAAGCCAGAGAGAGATCAGAATGGAGTAGGTTAGAGGAGGCCTTTGCCAACTGGCAAACGGACTCACAGAAAGTAGAGAAGCACCAAATACGTGAACAATTTTAATTTTGTAAAATACATATACGTATATCAGTATATAGGTAAGTGCAGCAGTATAAGAAACATAATTGTATACCTATCTGTTGTCCGAATAAAAGGCCTTATTATTATTACATAACAAAACAATCATAACACATTAGCAGCACTAAATTTAAAAAAGAGGTCTTTTAGGTTCATTAAACATGATAACAGCACAGCTATAGAAATGTAAACACGATAGTTTTAAATATTCAGATGATGTTGTTTCGCAATTCAATAGTCCGCCGTCAGCTGACAAGAACGGTCGTCTGAATCCGAGTTAAAGTTAAAATATTTAATTAAAATGCCTGCTCCAAATAGAGATGGTCTGAAAATTGTAGATGTTGACGTTAAGGACGTACGTTTCCCTACATCGCTTGGAGGTCATGGATCTGACGCTGTGGTGAGAGCATACTCTATTTATTCGTGGCACACTTTGAAACAAGTTTCTACTTCGTTTTTTCCTACTTTGAGTACGCGGTAACGCGAATTTTGATACAACTTGGATACATTATTTCTGTCTAGCTTTGAATATTTATTGCTTACCTTTTTATCATACCGGATATCGTTTTCCTACATGATAGACATTATAATGTGATTTCCATCACCTTGAAACATGAGGTTGAAGTCTCAAATTCATTGGAATAAAAGGTATCCTATCCTTCAATCTTGAACGCAATAGTGGAATGGCAGAAATATAATTTATGAGGGTAATTACAGCATATCCCACTACTAGAATTATATTGTTTATGACTCCTATTAGGTACCCTAGTACTCATAGTATGTTTTTTTTTATTTTTTTTATTGCCTTTGTAGGCAGACGAGCATACGGCCTACCTGATGGTAAGTGGTCACCGTCGCTGATAGACATCAGCAATGCCAGGGGCAGAGCCAAGCCGCTGCCGATCTTATGTACCTTTGGTAATACCGTCCTGCCTATTTCTACTGAGAAGCCATCACGCGGCCTAGTTAGAAATCCGGGATATCTGTTGCTCTGATTTTTCAAGGCCCAAGGCTCAAGCTGCACTGATATTGTAGTATTGATAGACTACAGGTAGGCTACGAGCTCGTCTCAAGGCTCGTATAAGACTAAAAGTCACACTGTAGTTTGTTTCTTTCTTGTTTCACACAGCACACAGATCCAGACTACTCCTGCGCCTACGTCATCATAACCACAGAGAGCGGTAAACGCGGCTATGGACTTACTTTCACCTGCGGTAGAGGCACTGAGATCATAGTCTTCACCATACGATCTTTTAAACGATTTTTGTTGGGCAAGAACGCTTCGGACATTTTTGCCGATTTTGCTGGATTCTGGCGTGCGATTACCAATGAATCACAAATGAGATGGGTAAGTAATCTATAGCATCTACAATGGTTTTTACGGATGTTCCATTATAACTACTGAACCATGCATCCGATTGACTTGAAACTTGGTATCCATGTAGAAAATACATATACTTAATGGATAGGCTAATATTTATATGAGCGTTGGACTCCCTATATCAGTTGCGGGGGCGTTAATGATGAGAATCTGTGGGAATGCGAAATAATAATGTTAATTTTAAATGCCCAGCGAAACGGACGGGTACAGCTAGTCATGTATAAAGCCAAATTTGTTTCAGTTTCTTATGATTTTACATGTTTGAAGTAAACAGAATAATAATATGTATTATGAGATAAATTTTCGATAAACCATGTTTCTGAAGACGATTTAAATGATAACCAAAAAAGCATGTCCATACTAATAGGGAGTATGCCGAACTTTAGTAATGTGTAGTAGTGATTAGATTTTTATATTAAGAGATTCCACTGGCATTCAAATTATATCAAAAAGTGTGATTTCATTACATCTCACAACTTGCAGCAATGTGAAAATGCAAAAGAGTGCAAGATTATATTGAAACAGAAAAGTTATATAAGTTGTCAAAATATTCAACCGTTTAAGAAAAATATTTTTTTGCCTTCATAGCCAAAATATGCCCCTTATATTAATGAAATTTTATTTTACAGATCGGTCCAGAAAAGGGAGTAACTCATTTGGCAGTTGCAGCCATTGTTAACTCCTTATGGGACTTGTGGGCAAGAATAGAAAACAAGCCACTGTGGCGACTTTTGTCTGATATGGATCCTGTGGTAGGAACAATCAATGCACAATGTTTTTTTTTGTATTTACGTTACAAACATAGCTTGCATGTAACAAATCTAGCAAGAGTATGAACTAAAGAAAAACATTCAAAGGCATAATTATGTTAGGCATCGGTAACCGATTTGCCGCAAACAGTCTGTGTAAAAGGGTTACATTTAACAAAAAATATTTCTTATGTTCTATGAATACTTTTATTCTACAAATATAGAGTTTGTGTTAAGCACGTTATAATGATGGCTAATTAACCATTAAAATCAGACAATAAAACAGAATACCTGAATGCGCCTTCTGGGTTGTTTCAAATAGTAAATTAAAGTCTCAGCACGTTCCCGCCGTTTAACTGAAGAGGAACTCTTTTTTTTTGGCCGGGGTCCGAATGTCAGCACGAGATCCCTGCGCCAAGGAGGAGCGCCAGTTAGATGAGCTGTCGTAGCCATAATTGCAGTGGAAGTCTGCCTATAATTGTGTTGTGTTGTCGGTGCTTGGTCGACTTGAGCATAACATAGAATTGCAAAAGTACAGTTAAATATCAAACGGCGCTTTTAATAATTCTTAATAATATAATACACCTGAAATTGGTGGTGAGACCTCTTGTGAGTCCGTACGGTAGGTGCCACTACCCCGCCTATATCTGCCGTGAAGCAGTAAGGCGTTTCGGGTTGAAGGGTGGGGCAGCCGTTGTAACTATACTGAGACCTTAGAACTCATATCTCAAGGTGGGGGGTGGCATTTACGTTGCAGATGTCTATGGGCTCCGGTAACCACTTAACATCAGGTGGATCGTGAGCTCGTCCACTCATCTAAGAAATAATAAAATAAAATAAAATTGTAAACAAATATATTTTACTTATTCAATTATCGAGAATATCGATTTTTTTTATGAAATGTGTTTGAATTCGGTTCTAATCGGTTTTGAGAGTCTAAGAAGTGAAGTGAAGATGTCTTAATATGATTATAGTATAGGTATCACTTATTTCAGGAATTGGTATCAACAATAGATTTCAGATACATTACTGACGTAATAACTCCAGAAGATGCAGTGGAATTACTGAGAAGTAAACAAGCTGGGAAAGAAGAAAGAATAGAGTTTTTGTTAGAGAACGGATATCCGTGCTATACTACGCAAGTTGGTTAGTTTTAACGTGTGCAAACAAAGCTAACATCGAAACTATCGCTATTAAATTTTATATAAACAGGGAGACGACCTGTCTATACATAGCGTCAATCGAATATCAATAAAGGCTATCTACCAATTCAAATTGGATTATGTGATTATTTTGTTTTAAAAAATAGACAAGATAACGACTCGTACGCGCTTACTACACATCCACATGAGTAGGTACTCAAGATAAGAATAACGCGTTAAATTCGTTCAGAAAATTATTAGGGGTTGTAAACTTCTTGTTACTTGGTCGCTGGTTGATTAACCTAGCAGACTGCCACCTTGTAAGATGATCTAGATATAATACTCATAATCGAATTTTTCATTTTAATCTAAGTGGAGATTTAAGTATAGAACATAATTTAATTCAGTGTGATATTTCGTACAAAAATGCATTTTTTTCAAGCACGATTATCAAAAAGCTATTATGTGTATGTATTTATTATGTATCAATGCTAATTAGACCGCACTTATTGGAACCGGTCCCAGGACCGAAGATACTAAGTAATGGTTCTAATGCTACATTGTCTTTTGTCAATATTTTCTCCATTACGCATAATATAACACGGATTTTTGGGTTTAGTTTAGTAAATGAAAATGATATTTCATTGACGTCAAGGCAGCAGTTTTTAGTAGTTTAATGTTTCCAGATCTTTTTAGTTCTGTCATAGTAATGTCATATTATCTTCTTAGAGTTTTCGCGAGTAGGTATAATTTAATCTAATATTACGCCATAATCTTGCGTATATTATTTTAGATATTTCGAATAGGTATTTTACAGTTTACGTTACAGATCATTAAGTCCATTTCCGTAAATATGAACTGTGGAACTTGAAATGTTATTTAGATGTGCAAATAAATATTATTTTCGACTAAAAGCAGTAAATACCGTCCGAATACACACTGTATAACGTAAAAGGTTGATAAAAAGTATGCTGTCAAAATTACATACATACTTAATATACATACATACTTGGATTTTATTTATTTATATCCTAGAATGAGGGGTTTTGGTGGACCCATATGATATGTTACTACCGGTTTAAGGAAACAGTAGTATTCACATAATCATATCCGTGAGTTCATAGAACCGTTAAACAAGAAATATGTACAATTACAAAACGGTAATTTACCAGATTACAGGGCTTATTATTTTATTTTTATATTTACAGGCTGGTTGGGTTATAGCGATGAATTAGTTGAGGAATTATGTGATAAATATCTGAAACTCGGATTTACCTACTTCAAAGTGAAGGTTGGTCGCAATTTTGAAGATGACTATAGACGATGCAGCGCAGTACGACGGTATATCGGGGACGAAAATGTTTTGGTACGTGAATTTACTTAACGACTATTTTATAATTGGAAAATAATCAAATGCTCATGCTTTAGTTTAGAATTTAAATGGAGATAGACAATCAAAGAAAGAATAGTAATACGATATCAACTACTTGCGTCTTTCAGATGGTTGATGCCAACCAAGCTTGGAGTGTGGGCCAAGCTATCGAATGGATGAAAAAGTTGGCGCCTTTGAAGCCGATGTGGATCGAAGAGCCAACTTCTCCTGATGACGTCTTAGGACATGCTACAATCTCGGAGGCCTTAAAGTTAGTAATTCCGTGATTTTAGATATTGGCGTATATTAAATAAACAAAATTATCGCTTCTCTAACATCGTAAAAATCCAGAGTATATTAATTACATAACAGGAGAAAATCCTTTTTTTTATTGCTTAGATAGGTGGACGAGCTCACAGCCCACCTGGTGTTAAGTGGTTACTGGAGCCCATAGACATCTAGAACGTAAATGCGCCACCCACCTTGAGATATAAGTGCTAAGATCTCAGTATAGTCACAACGGCTGCCCCACCTTTCAAATCCTAGCTAGTAGTCGTTGAAAGTGACACGTTTATTTGTGTATTTAATAGTTTATGCACTTATTTACGCATTCCATTTCTATTCTTGACCCTTAGGCTTGTGATAAACGTTCACAAGCTTTTCCGGTAAGATAGGCCAATGTTCCCCATTTTCGGCGATACGCAATGCATGATAGTGTCCGGTGTGATGTGGATCTGATCGGACCACATTACAGGTTGTGACTTTCCGGAGACCATAAACTGTTCAATAGGCAAAGTAGGCGAGTATACGTATGTATCCTCTCCCTATACCTATGTGCCTCTATGTCGTATCTATGTATCTAGTTTCTATGTATTTAATAGTCTTAATTTTTCCTCAGACCTTATGGTATCGGAGTAGCCACAGGCGAAATGTGCGCCAATCGAGTACTTTTTAAACAATTCCTGCAGAGCGGCGGTATGCAGTACTGTCAGATAGACGCGGCCAGAATCGGTGGTGTAAATGAAATATTAGCGGTATATCTTATGGCTGAAAAACTTAAAGGTATGCTTAATAAATCTCTGCCCATGATTTATTTTAAATTTTAATTCAATGCTTTTTAAAAGTTCTGGCTTAGACTGAATTTTTTTTACAGTAAAATTATGTCCACACGCCGGAGGAGTTGGTTTGTGTGAGATGGTGCAACACCTTCAATTCTGGGATTACGCGAGCGTGTCTTGTACGATGGAGGATCGCCTCATAGAGTACATTGATCAACAACACGAGCATTTTATAGATCCATGTGTCGTTGAAAACGCGAAATATTTAGCACCTCAAGTAAGTTTATGAAATAACATGAAACAACAATAATTAGGCAATATCTTTCAGATTCCCTAATAAATATACCCGGGCCCTAATTTGATGTAGGTATATGATTTGATTAATTGTAAATGTCTGAATGTATGTAATATACACGCGAGCAAAAGTTTGGAATCACTTACTTGAAATTGGTTCCGCGCGATCTTGCTTACTAAATAAATTTGTAATTATTATAAAAATCACATCATTTTAAAGGTTCAACTGTCAACTTTAAATTGATACCAAATTCATTCAAATCGAGCCAGTAGTTAAGGAGCTATTCCGGATTAAGTGAAGGAGGTAGGAAACAAAGGAAATATGGAAAAATAATGAATGCATAAAACAACAAAAATTAATAAATAAAAATTTTATTTAGCCTTAAAATTAAATGTCAGTACTTTGTGTTCCCTTCCCTTGCCCTAATAAATCCTCGAAGACGATTCTTCATAGACCTGATCAGCTTTTGAATTGATTCTTGTGGGATACCTTCCCACTTTTCAATCAACGCCGATTTCAGCTCATTCAGGCATGAAGGAGCAGAAGTTCTGGAACGAACCCCATTCTTCAGTTCATTCCACACGTGCTCAATAGGATTCAAGTCAGGGCTGAGCGCAGGCCAGTCCAATGTCGCGATATAGACTTCTTCGAAGTATTCAGTTGTTCCACGGGCAGTGTGACAACGAGCGTTATCGTGCTTAAGGAGGAAGCTATCACCGGCATATCCCGCATAGGGAACGACATGTTCCAGCAGAATATTGGAAATGTACCGGTCCGAAGTTAGACCGCCTTCTCGTCCCCCGCCAGGCACGAAAATAAGCTCGGTTTTACCGTCGAAGGAAATGCCGGCCCACATCATACAAGAGCCGACCCCATAAGCCACTGTTTCAGCGAAAAAGCACTGCGCAAATCGCTCCCCAGGCCGCCTGTAGACCCAACCTCTTCGGTCGCTACCATGCAAACACATCCTGCTCTCGTCGGAGAACAGGATTTGCCTCCATTGCTCAACCTCTCAATTAAGATTGGTACGAGCAAATTGAAGGCGTGCTTGTCGATGAACTACCGTGAGTTTCGGGCCTGTGACAGGCCTTTTTGGAGTCAGATTCGCTTGCTTGAGTCGTCGACGAACTGTCTACTTGCTAGCTGCTACCCTACGAACATCTCGGAGCTCCTGTTGGACGTCGACACCAGGTTAATGCCGATTTCGGAGAGAGGTTAACACGATAAAACGGTCATTCCTCTCCGATGTGCCCCGGCGCCGTCCAGATCTTGGTCTCGGGATAAAGCTACCAGTCTCTTGAAAGCGCTTGCAAACTTTTGAAACACAGGAATGGCTTATTTGGAGCCGACGAGCGACAACCCGCTGGCTGAGCTCTTCTTGCAATAGGGCTACGATTTGTGCTACTTCTGTAGGTGTTGTCCCAATTGTCGTACAAGATAAAGGGTCAAAAGTAGCCGAGATATATACCGGTCAATGTGTGAAAGTCGACTGATAAAGAAAATCCGATAACAGGTGCTTTTATAGGGGTCAATAGGCCGCAACTCGCGACGTATCAAGCAATTGAAACACGTCTTTTTCGTTATTCCTTCACTTAATCCAAGATAACTTCTTAAATACTGGCTTGATTTTAATGAATTTGGTATCAGTTTAAAGTTAAGAGCTCAACCTTTAAAATGATCTCATTTTTATGATTATCAAAAAAATATTTAGTACACAAGATCGCGCGGAACCAATTTCAAGTAAGTGATTCCAAACTTTTGCTCGCGAGTGTAGTTATTTGTGCAACAAGAGAAAAAAGTTATTTTTTGTTTCGAGTGCTGATTTTGAGTCCCGAGCCCCCGGAACCTATGATTGATTCACGAGCGTAGCGAGTGATTCCAGGTTAGAATCCTGAGCGTAGTGAGGGACTCAACAGCACGGGATTCAAAAAACTTTACTCTCGTGCAGTAGCACACAGCTTTTCACCTCTGCAGCAGTGAGAAAACATATTACTTAGGAGACATAGAAATGAGCAGGAATAGATTGAAATAACTATTTAAAAAAAAGTAATTTCTTTATTACGAATATCTTTAAATTTTAGGTTATTACGCGTTTCCGAACCTTTTTTTTTTGAGGTCAAATCTAAAATCGAATTTCGAAGGGGTTTGTTTTTTTCACTCGCTTTTTTATATGCATGTGAAAGGGACAGAGTACAGTAAAATTCGAATGTTTGAAATTTATGGCTGAACAATGTCAATTCGTGGCATTGAAGATTGAAAAATTAAAAACCTTTGACCCACGCTCGATTCAAAATCTCGTTTTGTTCACTGTTGTCTCGCAGCAAAAGCGGCACGTTTGAGCTACTGTGGTGAAAAGTAATTGCCGTATCTATATTCATGGAATTTAGGAGTTTTGTGTATTCCTGATGTCGATACAATAATAGTTTAAGCTGATCTGTAACAAGCCTTGAATATCTACCCTAAAGCCTTCACGTTTGAGTTAATTTAATTCACATACAAAGAAGTTCACAATGGTTTTTTTTTCTTCTTTTAATTTGATTTTCTTTTAGTTACCCGGATACAGCACACAGTTCCTGCAAGAGACTCTCGAAAAGTATACGTATCCACGTGGAACGGAATGGGAAAAGATGATCAAAGAAGGAATTTTCCCTCAACCCGACGAAACCGAATGGGCAAACCCTTAAACTACGAAATAAAATAAACCTTTTCATAAATATTTATTGTTTTTTTGCTTAATTTATAATAGTTTACTAAACATGTCAACAATTAAAATGAAACATGATTTGAAATTGTTATGTTTTCTTTTGGAACGCAAAGGCGCTGAGTTTTGATTGTTTGGGGGCGCTCGTTGTAGTGTCCCCGTTTGCGTCTTCGTGTTTCCGTTTATTCGAGTCAGCGTGAGCGATCGATTGTACGTTTTTGAACATTTTAACGCAGTGCCGGGATAGTTCTGAGGGCGTCAGCTCCGGATTTCGTTCTTCCAGCAGAGACTTGTTCCTTGTGAACCAATCCATAAAATTTTCGCCAGTTAACGGTTTTAAGGGCTGGAACAACATCGAAATGATTGAAATGAAATATTTCATAGGGGTAATTATTTATGTTTATTATAGGTAACTTAATTTTTTTTAATTCTTTTTGTTGTTTAAATTTGTGGACGAGCTCACGGCCCATCTGGTGCTAAGCGGTTATCGGAGCCCATAGACATCTACAACGTAAATGCCGCCACCCACCTTAGGATAGGAGTTGTAAGATCTCAGTTTTTACAGTACAGCGACTGCCCTACCCTTCAAACCGAAACGCATTACGCTTCACGGCTGAAATAGGCGGGGTGGTGGTAACTACCCGTGCGTGCTCACAAGAGGTCCTACCACCAGTATTACGCAAGATATAATTTTGCGGGTTTGATTTTTATTACACGATGTTATTCCTTCACCGTGGAAGTCAATCGTGAATATTTGTTAAGTACGTATTTCATTAGTAAAATTGGTACCCGCCTGCGGGATTCCAACACCACTGCATCGCAAGATACGAATGCACCGGGCGTCTTATCCCTTAGGCCACAACCTCGCTATGATTTGCTTAGATGGATGGACGAGCTCACAGCCCACCTGATGTTAAGTGGTTACTGGAGCCCATAGACATCTACAAAGTAAATGCGCCACCCACCTTGAGATATAAGTTCTAAGGTCTCAGTATAGTTACAACGGCTACCCCACTCTTCAAACCGAAACGCATTACTGCTTCACGGCAGAAATAGGCGGGGCGGTGGTACCTACCCGTGCGGACTCACAAGAGGTCCTACCACCAGTGAAATTTTGCGGGTTTGGTTTTTATTACACGATGTTATTCCTTCACTGTGGAAGTCAATCGTGAACATTTGTTGAGTACGTATTTCATTAGAAAAATTGGTACCCGCCTGCGGGATTCGAACACAGGTGCATCGCTACATACGAATGCACCGGACGTCTTATCCTTTAGACCACAACGACTTCTATTGCTTGGCCACCAAGCTTGAGGTACGACTCCTAATTCTAAGCCTCGGTCTTTATACACATGTACAGGCACTATTGTCATAAGTATTATGTAATTATGGAGTGAGAAAAGCACAACTATCTAAAATCGGCCGTGTATATGTGAAAGGGTACAATATTTTTACTAATTACCCATAATTTTGACTTTGTTATGGTCAAGAGCAATAAGTTATAAAAAATATAATAGATAGTATATATAATGATTTACAAATCTAGTAGGAAAAACTAGATTCTTATAAAAATTGAATAAGAGATTTTAGCGAGTTCTGGACTTCATTTATGACATTTCTTTCAAACAGCATTATGATACTCACGTCTGTATTTTCGGCAGTATCAGCTGTGGAGTGTACTTCTACCAATGTCCGTTCTGTTAAACTTAAGGGACTTTGTACACATTTAGTTACTTCCTGTTGCTTTCTAAATGGATTCCGAACGCCACCGGGTGACGCTTTTATTGTCTGCAACAAAATGTACTTCAATTAATTACATCAAATTTGTTTTTATTTGTGTATTTCTAATTCAAACAACATAATATTCGAATAGAATATTTTACATATAATTGAACAAAATCAACATCAATAAGGTTACAATAACTATATTTAAAAATACTGCGTATCCTGAGTAAAAGCACTCATCTGATAAAAGATCTTCCCTTTACCTTAAGAAACGATAATAACTAATTTTTCTATGGATCAATTGATTCACCTCTGTATCAGCATAAAAAATGTTTGTTAAAAATCACTAATTGTAATCATTATTATAGCATAAATTATAACATACCACTGGCTTTATAGGTGTGACGTTTTCAACTTTTTTTTCTTTAGCTTTCTGTGGTATTATAAGGCTCGCGTTCAAATCTTGCTCTGAGTTCGTAACATCATAAGTCTCCTGTGTGTCCAACTCTTGGAAGTGAGAGTTCTGAGCTACATTCAGTTTATCAGTTTCTTTTTCCCATGATTCAGCAAGATTGGTTAGTTTCTCCGCCAAGTGCATGCGCCCTAAGCGCGATGCGTACTTGGCAGCTAGCGGTAAGAGACGATCGTCTTTCAGCAGTTCCATTAATTCTAAGGCTCTTTGCTCTATTTCGCTTCGGCATGCAAGCTGTGAAGAAGACATTAATAAAACAAATAATTATGTTACTACTAGATGAAGTCTTTGTTATAGTTTTTTGTATTTATTGAACGAATGACTGAAAATTATTACTTTTAGACGATTGTTGTGATGTTTGCAATCAATTTTAAAGTTCACAAGAGGCTAATAATAAGTCATAATGTATGTTTATATATTTGCTAAATTTTTTTTATCCTACCTATGCTGATAGCCTTGAGAGGCTATTTCAGCTTCGTCCTAACGTGTAGGTGAGCTCACGAGACTCAAACCAGAGTGTTGCTAACACTGACCCTAGCAAGAGCAGTGCTTCGCAGTATCTACCACCGGACCGGATACGCGACCCACTGAGAAGATCCGGCGAGAAACTCAGTGGGCTGTGTCTGTGGGTGACCGGTACTTGTGGAGCCTAAAAGCACCGTTAATGGATCGGGATGGATCCGTAAGGTCGAGTTTTGGGCGACGTCGACTGGTTACCATTCGGTCTACAGGATCGGGTATGCTTTGTTAGTCATGTTGGCCGTTTTATATACAAGATTATGAAGACTTTTAATAATAAAACAGCCACTGTAAGACAGATAGATTTCATTAAGATGAAACATGGAAGCAATTTAGTACTGATGAGATAAGTGTTACAGATTTGTTTCGCTAAATATAATAAATATTTACTGGCAGTTCTGATTAAAATTTGTTGTTGATGAAAGTTCACGACATATTATGCAATTATTTAAAAACGTAACATTTATCAAAATAAGCTACATGGCCTTAACATTTGAATTGTTTTAAAAGTCATATCTTTATTTATGTAAAAACGTGACGGCTGTGTAATGATAACCCTGGTATCAAATCGGTATTAATCAGTTTCCTAGATTTTTTTTGTTTGTTTTTTTTACGTGATGATACATAAAACATTAAAACGCGATAATATTCGAAAAGTATTTGACGAGATGAAGCGTCGGTGAACAAATAAGGAAAACGGCGATGAGTTTGATTTTCAATAAAATTTAACAATTTTTAGATATTCATTTGGAGGTGTTAGTTAGTTAGTTAGTCGTAATCAGTGACATATTAGTTTTAACGCCGTGTGACCCATTACGTTTGTTAAATATTCTGACAGATAAAAAAAACGGAAATACGTACATAAGACGTATCCGTGAACGACTTCATTGATAAAGGAATAATGACCTTTAGTAAAAATAGAATACGCAAAATTTTTTTTAGTCTTTTTTTTTTGTGAGCTCACAAGGGTACATTCGAATATATATCAATGATAAATATTAATAAATTATAATAAATCACTGATGTATATTTATTTACTTGTAGTATTTTGTTATATATGTTTATTTTAATTAAAATGTTACGGTAACTCACAGCAAACAATTTCAGTGCGGTTTCTCTGGCAGTCTTCATGTCAACGTCGGCAGTTGTATGCGCCCAACGTACTAACTGTTCTTCGTACTGACTCTTTTCCGATTCTATTTCGCATAATGGTATCTGTAATTATTCACTATAATATATATAAAAATGAATTGCTGTTCGTAGTGTCGCTAAAACTCGAGAACGGCTGGACCGATTTGGCTAATTATGGTCTTGAATTATTTGTGGAAGTCTAGAGAAGGTTTAAACGGTAGATAAATATGAAAATACTCGGAATTAAATTTTGTTTTTCCTTTGATGTTTCTCCCGTTCCCTTTGGTTCCTTTTGTTTCGTTCGGACGGATTCCTTTTGTTTATTTTAAGTTTATTTTATACAAAAGTTTAGGTCTTTTATTTATCGATTGAGGCACTACGAAGTCTGCCGGGTCAGCTAGTTCATTATAAAGTAAGATCGTGCGATAATCAAGAATAATGATTGTTCAAAATGTATCTGGGTGCTAGTGCAGAACCTTTCGGAATATACGCTACAGAAGTCAACTGACGCCTGTTTTCGTTCTTCACTTACAGAATATAAAGTTCACTATGCAATAAAATCCGTTTTTACAAACCTGTATAGGCAACTCCGCTATTATAGGTTTAGGCACTGTTGGCGGGAAAGTGGTGCCTCTACATAGGATGGCTCTTACTTTTTGTGTGGGTTCACTGATCTGTAAATAAGTTAATTCTATTAGGAGTCACAGGAGTCTTATATGCTAAGTTTATCTGGCTAATATCAAATCATACGGTTCCACAACCTCAAGCTAGTTTTTCTACTTTTAATGAGATCCAATATTAATCCTTGCCGGTGATGATTACATGTAACGACGTTACAAATGCACTGAGACAGAGAATGTTGCAGTGAGATCGCCGGCCATTGGTACCGTTAAAAATAATACTTACAGAAACAATAAACCACGAATCAGAAGCTCCTTTGGAGTGTCCGTTAGTATCACAGATAGGCATCCAAACTCCGCTAGACACATCGTACATTCTTAAAATACCAGTGCTGTCGTAGGTACAGGGAGAGCCGATATCCGTGGTGCCGAGCCAAGTTAGTTTGGACCCTGGGGTCAGAGGCACAGGAACAGTTTTACTTCGCACTTGACGTCCTGAAAAAATTAAAGTGTTGGTTTTTTATTATTGGAAACGAGTCTAAAATCACTT